GCAAATTAATTATATTTTCTTTAGATCAAGTTTTTATTTGATACTTCCATCCTTGGCTTTTGATCACACATAAGGGTTTCTAATATTGGTTTTTTGAAGTAACTACAGAATATTAAAAAAAGAAAAAAAACTGCCTAAAAAGCAATTAGATTCGCTGGAAAAGTGTTCGTGGACGTCGGAGACAGCAGCATCTAGAAGGCGAGAGATCAGTTGGCAGATGAGGTTAATTGAAAGCATGATACCATGATTCAGAAACCTTTCTCGCGAATATGCCCGAAGTCAGCTCGGTTAGATATTCGACAACTATTTTTGCTGACAATTAGTGTATTAATTCTAGTTATTCATTTGTACTTTTTCGCATTGACTCTGACTGAAATTTTGATACATAAATAAATTTTCTGAAGCAGGCTCACATTTACTAAGGTCGGTCTAATGGTTAAACTATTTATTAAATAAATTGTGTAATAATTTTCGGTACTGTTTGCATACATTAAGTAACTTCGTTTCATCTGGTTTGTCAAGAGTTTCCTTGCAGCCTTATATCCATTGAAAAGCTTGGAACTGTTTGGAGGTTATTTTCCTTTTGACTTTTTAGAAAACCTAATTACCTATATGGCGCATATAGGGAATGGCATTTCCTTTTTAGAATAAGGCATAGCTTGAGAGGCATTTTTAAGGAAAAATTCTGTACAAGTGTAGAAGCGAGCTGTGATGTTAAAATAAAGAAAATTTGAAAGAAACCCCATCAGGGATTACATTTGGGGCATAATTGAAAAGAAAACTAAGAAAATTTCGGACAGCAGCATTTTGTTGTTGTTGCAAAAAAACTGTAGCATACTTTTTAGCTGAGGCTTTAAAGCGCATTGCCAGGCGGCGGACACTTTAAGTATTAGTTGCACAAAGGCACACAAACAAACAAACATAAAAAAATAAACAAACAAGGAAAACAAACGAAATGAACAGCACGCTAATGATGTCCACTGGGGCCACTGACCATCACTGACCATCACCGGCCGCTGCCACGCTGCCACGGACCATCAGCAGGGGCTGCAACAACCACAGGCGACAACAGCGACGGCATTTGCTGCTAATTACATTCTGCGGCCGGCATAACAAATCCCAGCCAAATGGCAGCAGGAAAAAATGTTTTCAAACAGCAACAACATGCACATGTGCATGACATCCCCCATCCCCATCCCCCATCTCTCAACTCCCCCTCTCACATTCCGCCCGACATCCATTTATGATTGATGCCAAAGCAAAAAAGAAGCGAACAAGAAATGTACAAAAGTTGTGCGCCTGTTGGCCAAGTAATTAAAATACCAGGAAGCTAAACGTGCCCCATCCTGTTGTTGGTCCTGCTGGCACATGTGTTGCCGCAAATGACGGAGCGACCACTTCCACATATTGATTGATTTTTAATTACGCAAATCTGCAAACGAAGCGGCTGCGTCTGCGTCTGCAACGGGCTCAGCTTCTGCTCCTGCTCCTGTTCCCGCTCCGGATGCGGGTCCTGCCACTGCTTCGATTTCAATTAAACGTTTTTGGTTTGATGATATACATTTCCCTTTTCTCTTTTTTTTTTTTTTTTTTTTTTTTTGCAATTTTTATTTAACACATAAACAAATAGGAATACAGGCATGCAGTTGTCTCTTCAAGAGGATGCGTGCAATTAGAATTTGAATCGGTTGGCCAGCCTGGAAGGGCGGGCATGGAAAAGTGATTTTTGTTTGAGGTCAGCAGCAGAATGCCAATGTGGGCAAAACTTTAGTCAACCACTAAATGGAGGCTGTGGGGAGTGTACAGGCCAGCAATCAATGCCTCATTGTTGGGCTTAATGGCTCGGGCATGAACGCTATGGGTTTCTAAAGCAATTCAATGCGAAGATTTTTAAATGCGGGATAAATGTTTGGGAAAAATGCGCATTATTTTTAAAGAGCCACTCTTAGAAATATGCAGGGGATGCATTAAATTATTTGATTAAGGCTATTAATGTAGCTTTTATATCAATAAAGTATAGCCCGACTTAAAGAAGGGTATTACACATAGAAGGAGGCGTGGCAGACTCCATGAAGTAAAGCTGAGTCGATATAGCCACGTCCGTCTGTATGAACGCAAGGATCTCAGAAAGTGCAAGAGCTAGAATTACCAAACTTGGTTTCCAGCTTCCCCTAAGCCCTAGGCAGATCAAGTTTTTTAATTTTTTCTGACGCACCTTCCCACTCCCCCCAAATTCACATTTCTGTATAATGCCCGTAATTCTCTTCCCATAATTCTTGGAGTTTCGAACTCGTACTTACAAGCAGTTAGTCCATATGTTAATTTTCATTAAGGTCAATTATGAAGAAAGTCTGTCTGTATGAACGCAAGGATCTTAGAAAGTGCCAGAGCTAGAATTACCAAACTTGGTTTGCAGCTTCCCCTAAGCCCTAGGCAGATCAAGTTTTTTCATTATTTCTGACGCACTTTCCCACAGTTAATCCGTATGTTAATTTTCATTTAGTTCAATTATGAAGAAAGTTACAGACATAAGTAAATAAATTTAAAAAAATTCATTTATAAAATATTTTTTTTTAAAGTAAACTCTGCTTATCTGAAATGAGTAACCGATTGATTTATTAATGCTTAAAGTATACTCACTCTGCGAATGGTTGTGTTCAGATAAGAGACATACCCGTACATTCCCGCCCATGCAATTTACTTGGCATATTGTGCTGATCTATTCAATAACCAATCGGTTGTCTGAGGCAGCCAGACACACGCTTTTCCTCTGGACCGAGCACAATTTGTGGACGCGCGTCGTGTCCACGAGCTGCACGGCATTGTAATTTCAATTGTATATGCAAAGAACTTAAATCACAAAATGGCCAACCTCAGTCCTTGGGCTTCAACACCCACCCACCCACACGCACACATACACACACACATCCAAACACCCTTCTTTGCAGCGTTGCATTTGTTTAAGCAACGTTTGGTTCGCTTTTGTCTCGTGGCTAGGGCTAGCTCGTTTGGACGCCATGGAAGCCTTTGTTAATGCGACGGGCGGCACACGGCCTCTCACTTTATTTGTCGTTGGTCGCACACTGCTTCCTAATATGTGTAACTACATACTAGCAGGTCTTGCCCGTGTTGGCTGGGCTGCATATATTTATTTACTATGTGCTATTTCTGATCAGACATTGTGCACATTCCCAGAAAAGTTTCAATGGCAACTACCAAATTACTTTGGTATGAGAGAGAGCGAGAGAGCGAGAGAGAGAACACCGAAGCCTATATATTCGTATATAGTACGATAAATACTATGCATGTTCATACGAACTACTATACGTATGTATAATCGGGATAATCATTTCTAGAATTTAAACCTGTACAATTTGGCAAAGATTGTTTATCACGGATCTCTTGGATTTTTTCTAAGTGTAAATAAACCAAGTTTCAACTTATTCGGAGCTATAATTTTTAATATACTCGTATACATGTCTCCAAATTTCAGCTTCCTAGTTTCCTACTGTTTGGGCTGTGCGTTGATTGCCAATCAGTCAGCCAGTACAAACTGTTTTATACATATTTATATATATATATAGATACATTTCTATGTCTTTATAAGACTCATACACTATACGTTCAAATTTAAAGTCAAAGGACTTACGAATAATTTATTTGACGCCGGATTATTGTTTAACAATCGATCAGCGATTCCTCTACATCGCAAGGCAGCTACTATCGGCGATTATATCTGACATGTAATCAGAATGCACCGTTAAAACTTATCTTTTACATACATATATACTTGTATATATCGAATGAATAGGAAGAAAGAAGTGCTAACGATGGGTTAACGATTTTCCAAATCTACTTGTATATACTCTGATGGACTGATTGGTGATCGGCTAGTAACCTGAAATTTGCACTGAAGTATCACTTCACAATGAAGGTGAGCGATAACAAGCGGTTTGTAGAAAATTCGAGTTCCAAAGGGGGAAAACAGGTTCCAAAGTTTGTATGAAAAAACCGCATTTTTCAGCCGATTGTCTTCCAACTCAGAAAAAAAATTTTTTTCTGGCTTGAATTTTCTTGTATTTGATATAAATATTTAAACGATTTAATTCAATTAAAATCTGTGTTTGTAGCACTCTTTGTCTGTTACTTACTATAATTATCTGTTTTCTGCAGAAAGTGAAATGAAACATGTTGTTCGAGAAATGTCTCACAGCTGGAAATTGTTTATTTTTTTTTTTGTTCGCAAGCAGCGAAACCACTGTATGTTGTTCTCATCCCAAGCTAGTCTCCCTGTATGTTGCCTTTTGCTGCTGCCTGCTAGCCTGCCTGCCAGCCAGCCAGGCAGATAACTTTCAATGAATTTGCAAACGCAGCAGCAACATCAGCAGCAGAGACAACAGCAACAATACCCAGTAGCCAGCAAACGGGCAACATTTCTTTGTTTATCTTTATACATTTACAATTAAAAGGGTCTACACTTTTTGTTGTCGTTGTCATTGTTGTTGCTGCTCATGGTCGTTGTCGTTGTCGTTGTCGCAATCGTAATATTAATGAATCCGTATATTTAGCCGGGGTCCAGTCTCTGTGTATGTGTATTAATAGGGGGCTCATGTGGCAGGCGAGTCCTGCACAAGTCTCACATTTCAACGCGCCCAGCTCTTGGGTGTCCCTTGGTTGGCCCCTCCCGCAGTTGTGGCTCGTTAATTGATTGCAATTTGTTTATGTAAATATGCCTGATTGTTGTTGTGTTTTGGCTTATGATTCGTTTTTGTTTTTTTTTTTCGTTTCGGCCTAGACGCCTGCAAATTGTGTGTGCGCAAATTTTGTGGTCAGTGGCTGTTGCGTTGATGTTGTTGTTATTTGATTTATGCGACTACCGCCCCGCCGCCCCACTTGTTTGCACATTTTTGTTAAACCATTTCTGCATACGTTCGCAATTGTCTCATTAAGCCAAATCAATAAATTAATAATTATCGCATTGCATAGCAAATGGTACTCACCCCCTCCTCCTTGCCCTGGAGCAAGTGAACGGCGCCGGACCGTTGGATGCCCGGCAGAAACCACATGGGATGCGTGAGTATCAGACGCTCGACCAGTCCCAGGTCGCAAGGCGGTGAATTATCGCTGGAGTCGCGTGAGCTCTCCTCGCTGGATGTTTCGCCCTCGGCCAGTATGCCACCCTCCGAGCTGGAGACGAGAGATGTGCGTGACTGCAAGAGGGTGGGTAGAGTGTGGGAAAGATGATGATTATGTACGGGTATATGGCAGGCAAATCGTAAGAATGGGAAAACAAATGAGTTTACATGTGTTCTGCAAGAAACAGTTTAAGGGCTGTTGCTCCAAACATCGTTAACATGCAAATGTCCGCTCTAATGGCGGGTCCCTGCCTCTTACACGACACTACATTCGGGCACTTCGCCCCAGCTGCGTCTTATCGCAGCAGTTTCACTTTAAACTGCATGCATATTAAGTGGCCTGATGATGTGAAGCACTGAGAAATGATTTGAATAACACATCTTGCGGTCCTATCTTAATATGTTTACTAACATGGGTATCTGTCTTCAGTTAATTCTTGCTTCCCACCAAATATTAACTTAAAATGTGTACAGCATTTTGTGGCCTTTGCTTTCCAAGTAGCAACCACTTTATCAATTAATTTATATTTATTTATTTATGAAGTCTACGAGAAGAGCTGTGCCACTAAGCACTTGCAAGTTAAAAAGAAGTAAAGGCTGCTCTGATGCATTTATAAACTGAAGATATAGATTGGGCTGCGACTATAAATGCTTCTAGGCGCTTGGTATTAGTGTATATTTTAGAATAAGTATTTCTGCAACAGAGTCTGATAATTTGTGCTGCTCTGAAGAGACTGAAGAAAAGCTGTGCCACTAGGGAATTGCATGTTAAAAAGAAGAACATTCGAATCGAATCATAGCATTCATAAATTGATTCATATATAGCTTGGGCTGCGATTATAAATGCTTCTAGGCACTTATTATTATAATTATCTTATTCATTCGTATTTCTGCAACAGAGTCTGGCTATTTGTGCTGCTTCCAAGAAACTAAAGAAAAGCTGTGCCACTTAAGACTTACAAGTTAAAAAGAAAGATGCATTCATAAACGGAATATATAGGTGGATCTGAATTTGTCATTAAAATTATCATATTCATTTGTACTGCTTTAACATAAGTATTTCTGCAACCGAGTCTGGCAATTTGCGCTGCCCCGAAGGTATTCAAGAAAAGAGCGCTTAAACGCCTTTTATTCTTTCATGAATTCTACATATAAATTGGATAGTTTTGTTGAAACTCTTATCTGCTTATGCTTATGAGATTAGCAATGCTCGCAAATCAGAGCCCATTCACATACTATACGTGTAGGCTTTCCATTACTTGTTGACACATTGCCGAGGGCTAACAATAGTCCCCCATTGTAGGGCTCCAGGCAAGGCAGTGAAAGTCTTGAGTGCGATTTCATGTCATGCCCTTACATTTGCGACAACTCTCTGCCAACGATAGAAAGAAAGCAGCTGCAGGCCCCGGGCGTTTGGGGCGAACAAAAAAAATTGTATACTCGTAGGCATCGCAGCTGAAGCTAACGATGATGACGATGATGATGATGACGATGATGACAACTACTACTGATGCTGCTGCTGTGCGTTTTTAATTGAAAAATGCCGTGAGCGTTTGAAATTTTCTCTGTGCTCCCTTTTTTTTTTTGTGTGTGTTGGCGAGGAGGTGGAGGAGGAGGAGGAGGAGGAGGAGGAGGAGGAGGAGGAGGAGGAGGAGGAGGAGGAGGAGGAGGAGGAGGAGGAGGAGGAGGAGGAGGAGGCGGCGGGCCAGCCTGCTTTTGAAGTTTGTGCACACATTTTTGTAGCATACTTTTGCGCGCTGCTTAATCAAAGTGCACGATGCTGCTCCAAGCAGCGACACCAACACCAACACCACCATTAAGCAGCTGCCTGCACTCCTGCAATGGTGGGGAGAGGGGTACGAGTGAGGGGGGATGAGGAAACCCACCATAAGCCATAATGATGCCCATCAAGCTGGTGTGTTTGCTCTTCTGTTGATTTGCATGGTTTGGCAAATGTAACCGAAGCCAAAAATTTATGCCAAGGCGATGCGATGAGATGCGTCGCAACCACCAAAAGCGACAGCCCGTTATCTAAATAAACACGCATATATATGCATGCATATATACATATATATCTACATAGTACATACATGTATTTATGTGAACATTTGCATGTACGGGTGCATGTGTGTTCGTGTATTTGTGAATTTGCATTTGCACTTGTATGCATATAGGATGCCACTGATTTCTATGCATATGACTCGCACTGTAGTACACGCTCGATAAACCTATTTCGAACAGGGATATAAGCTCCTTAGTAACTGTAACATTCAACATTAGTAACATTCAACAAAGTAACTGAACATTCAACATTTGCTGTGAAATAATGTTTGACTATTGAAATAATTAAATGAATTGAATTTTTGCTAAAAGACAAATCATATGCATGTTATATGTTGTCCGATCGCTGGAAGTTTGTTTCCATTTATATAGAGCTGTACAGATTCTGAAGACACTATGAGAACACACTAACTTTTGGCAACACTGCTGAAAGATAAAGCCCCGAACTACATTTTTCTTTTATACCTTGAGTATTATATAATGTACAAAAAAAAAAGAAAGATTCCAGTATTAGGATTATAATGTAGAATAATGTTCAGTATTTTGAATGAAGAGATGGCGACGATGCTGCTTCTGGGAGTTTCCCCAGTCCCGCTGCCCTGCTTTCCCATTCAATATGTATGACGACTTATTATATATACATATTGATAATTAATTTATATATCCCTACACGTAATTCCCACTATATGAAAAATGTAACACTCAATGACTCAAAAATCATCAAACTACTGCCATATTAGCATTATACAAAATACTTTAAAAATTGCTTCCAATATCGTAGTAAACCAAATAGTTGCTTCATTTAGAGTGTTTTCTTTTATTGCGCCAATCATTCCTATGGCAGTTATATGCGATTATAACTTGATCTGCTTATGGATGAGACAAGACAGACATTGCTTCAAACCTTTGATTATAATATATTCTCATTAAATATTATTAATAATATATTGGGAATATGGTGGCTCGCTCCCTATTCTGTACATACATTTTATTTTAGAATTACAAGCAAATATTAGCTTATCTCGTAAACAAACAATAATCTAAGATAACCTTAGAGAGAGTCAATTTTTTAAAAGCGATAATAAAATAAAGACTTTAAAAATTACACAACAAATAATGATAAATGTGCAGACAGTAATAGAAAACGCAATTGATTCCAAGTCCATTCGGTAGTTTAGGCAACTGCTTGCGTTTCTTAAGTCGCTTTATCGAGCGCGTACTGTGCTTGGCTTTTGCAGCAACGGAAAGTGCTCGAGTGGCTCTTGTTTGCGTTTGAACGTGTTTTTTTTTGCTGCTGGCTGCTTGGCTTTAAGCTGTTGGGGATGCGTGGCCGGAGAAGAGGCGGGTAAGGCTTGGCGTCATCGTCATCGTTACCGCTAACAACAACAACAACAATAGCAATAGCAATAGCAACAACGCTCATGAAATACCGCGCCGCTTGCTTAAAACTCGATACTCTTTTTTTTGTAACGTGTTCGCAGGAAGGATGTCCAAAAGGGCCCATCGCACTAATTGAGTTATTTTTGCTCGACTGTCAAATTAGGCTGCTCATGGATACCTTTTCCATAGATATGGATAGAAAGTTAGTCAAAAAATGGGGCCAGAGCTTTGTAAATTTGATTTACGTTGGCTACGCGCGTTTTAATTTCTGATGTCATTTATTAAAAAAAGGTTTGCAACTTGTCTTTGTCTTTGACTCTATGTCTGTCCCTGTGTCCGTCTCTGTGTCTTTCTCTGCTTTTCTCGCACTGAATGCGCATTAATCATACGACGCGTTGACAAAAAGTCGTGCCGGAAATGAAACTGTGAGCTGCAGACAGACGGCCCTGAAGGTGGAGCAAATGTCTCAAGACGCAATGAAATGGAAGTGCTGCGGATGCTTCAAATGCGGCAGCTTCTGTTTATTTGCCAAGCAACCAGAAGGGCAGACAGACAAACGGACAGACAGACAGACAGACAGACGGACAGACAAATATACATGCATACAGAGAAGAAAAAAGAGAAGAAAGGAATGGAAAATTGTTGAAAATGCGCCAAATCCCTGCAAGAAATGAGTGAAATTTTTCACAAAACTGAACAAGCGAGCACAGCATGCGACCGCCCAGCGAGTGAAGCCAAAAAATGAAAGGCTGCGTCCCCCTCTTCCCCTTTCCCTTCCTCTCCCGCAAACTCTCGCCCTCTCACACAGCCGTACACATCCTGCAAAATGTTGCAAAATTATGCTTAAATCAAAAATCACAGCCAACTCGCAGGCAAAGACATCCCAATGGCGTGCACTGCAGGCGTCCACAGGGTGGCTCCTTGACAAAGGAGATGGTGACAGGGGCTGGGGCTGTGGCTGGGGGGGTGGTTGGAGGCGAGGGTTGGCAAAGGCAACCCTTAAAATGCGTGCAGCCAACAACATCAGCAACCGACATGGCGAGGTAAATGCTGCGCATATTTTATACCCTGCATTAGGTCTTAAGTATTGCTTATTACGAAGCGCGCCTTGCTTGCTTGCTGCAACCTTTTTCTTTTATTTTATTTTTTTTATTTAGTTTCTCTTTTTTCTGGTGCGCTTTGGCGCTTTGCCTATGCCCATCTTTTTTTATGGGGGTCCAGCTTAAGTTTGGCTTGCAAACTATTTTGCAAGTTTATTTCGGACCATTGATGGGCACGAGGCACGAAAAGGAGGGCCCTAAGTTGCGGCCAATCAAAGTCTATTGCCCGCCTGCTGGCTTGCCTACTAAAGAGTTACCAGTTAAGGACATTACCCCAACAAAAAACTGAGTACAGAAGCCTGTCCTTATGTCCGTCCGCCTACTTGGCTGCCTGCCTGTTTGTCTGTCTGTGTACATTTGCTTTAAACCTTATAGTTTGTGCTCTTAGCATGACAGGCACGTCTAATTCTAATAATTTCTCATATTTGATTAAAAGAACTGCATTTTGTTAGACTACGAGAGGATGTGATTATAATTAAATTTGAAGGATTTCAAGCACTAGTGTCAAGTACATACTTCACTTAATATTTTCCG